CAATCAGGCCATCACCTGAGGCTGATTGCAGGAGGTGTATTTAAGCAGGATTTATGCCTGTGATCAGTGTCTTGGTGTATGTTTCCCATGATCCCCTTACCTGCATCCTGTCTGCTTCCTTGCCTGATCCTGCTTTGATCCTGACTCTGAACAAACTCTGTCCTGGTTTTTCCTGACCTTGCTATTCTCTGACCAAGGGCGTCCCTTCCACTCCCTCCTGGTACCGTTCACCTGTTTGCCCGTTTGGCCAACGGGTGCTAACAGCAGACCAAAACGGCCTGCCCGACTACCTTTGATTTGTATAATAATGTTTTATCAGGACCAGCCTTGAAAGGTTGGGTTGTTTGCATACTGTTTCCCATATGTATACCTTGCACTGCATTTGTGGTGCGTTTAGTCTTTAATAAATTGCCTGTCCGAACTCTTGGCTATACCAGTCTCCCAGCCTGCGTTTCCCTGTGTCAGTCCACACACACCTGTCATAGGTCATACCCGGAGCCCTGACAGACAGCATCATACAAGGTTTTAGGCTTTGATAATTTGTAGCTAAAGCCCATTTTTTTTTACCAGTTTTGGATATAGTGAGGTGTTAGACTGAAATAAAAACCTGACACAGATTCTGTGCCCTCACTAAGGAGAATTTCTCTTTTTATTTGCTCTGGTGGTCACGCCTCTGTGACTAAAAGTGAGGGAAATGCTACATTTTAGGATTTTACAAGAGATGCTTGCTATAAATTCAGCATCCCTACATTATTATCATGCTAGTCATTATGTTGGATTTTTCTGAAAGATGCAATATACTAAATACAGAGTATTCCAGCAACAAATTAATTTAATAACTTTAAAGTATTTTTCCACTTTTGCAACCAAATTAGGATAACATCTACTTTGCGTTTCTCCTCATGTCCCCATTCACATAGCATAACTTTAAAAAAAAAAATGCAGATTTTTTTAGGTGCTCTATTCTGGAGATTCCAGCAAGGACAAGTCCTTCTTAGTTTTCTTTGTTTATGAATGGGCAGGGGAGCTGTGTTCAGCATATTTAACCCTGTCCATACTGTACAGCAAATGTCATCTTACCATTTGTACTAAATTTGAACACTGCCTGTCTTACCAGATGGTTAAAGCAGATCTCCACCTAACCCCCCCCCCTTTTTACTTTTTTTCTTTTACCCTGCCTACTGGGAGGTGGGATCTACATGTTTTCAGATACTCACCCATCCAGTGGCTCTAGTGTTGTCCTGATGTGATTTTTCTTATCCAGTCAGCCTGGAACCATCGTATTGTTGCTGATATCATCACAAGGCCTGCCGGCTGTCCTGGGTTCAGAAGGCAAGCCTCCCAATGACGTGCTAGTATGTCCACACTCATCCTTTACTGTGAATGAATCAGTAAGTTCTCTATAGATAAGTCCTAGGAGGAAGCGCAGGCAAAGTACATGTCATTTGCCAAGGGATGTAGTGGAAGCAGGATCGAACACTTTTTCTGAAAAAAACAAAAGGAAAACAAAAAAAACCCCTATGAAGGTAGAAGAGCAGAAGAAGGGTGGACAAGAGGCACTTTCGACTTATGGGTGAAGATCTGCTTTAAAGCTCTGTTGGGGGAGAGGATGGCCAAAAAGTTAGAGGTGCTTTAAACTAAGTGGTGTGGGGAAGGTATCAGAGGAAAGGTTAGCTAGCAGTGAGCCCAGGTCAGAGGGGGATATACCCACAAGGGGAAAGTGTGTTGGCAGACCAATATTACAGTAACAGAACAACTGAGAAGGAAATAATATGCACCAGTACAAAACTGAGAGGCATGTACACAAATGCCAGGAGCCTAGCTAGCAAAATGGAGGAACTGGAGCTACTGATACAACGAGGAGAATTTCGACTTTGTGGGAATATCAGAAACTTGGTTTGACAGCTCCAACGACTGCTGGCAACTATCCAGAAGAGGGGAGGGGTGGGCCTGTATATTAACCACTTCCCGTCCGGCCCGCTGTTTATAAACGGCAGGACGGGACACCTACAGGAGCGGGTTGCCGTCTCTAAACGGCACCTTCTATCTGAGGCTCGTGCGCGGCTCCTAGAGCGCGCACCCGCGAGCCCGATGATCGCCGAGTCCGACGGACACGGTGGATTACGTGACATGGTATGGGACCAATGAAATCGGTCCCATACCATGTGATCAGCTGTGTCCAATAAGGACACAGCTTAAGTGTAAACACGGAGTTGTCTGTGAGAGGAGAAACATCGAAGAAGAGGTTGTAGCTAACTGCCCTCCACCTCAGTGACACCTGATCGCCCCTAAAGTGTCCCTGATCGCCCCCCGAAAGTGTCCCTGATCGCCCCTAAAGTGGCCCTGATTGCCCCACGTGTCCCTGATCACCCCAATAAGTGGCCCTGATTGCCCCAACAAGTGGCTTTGATTGCCCATAAGTGGCCCTGATCACCCCCACAAGTGTCCCTGATCGCCCCCACAAGTGTCCCTGATCGCCCCCACGTGTCCCTGATCGCCCCAAGTGTCCCTGATTGCCCCAAGTGTCCCTGATTGCCCCAAGTGGCCCGGATTGCCCCAAGTGGCCCTGATCGCCCACAAGTGGCCCTGATTGCCCACAAGTGGCCCTGATCGCCCAACAAGTGGCCCAGCAGTGTCCCTGATTGTTAGTGTCCCTGATCACCGCATTGGCCCAGCAGTGTTCCTGATCACCACACAATTGGCCCAGCAGTGTCCCTGATCCCCACATTGGCCCAGCAGTGTTCCTGATCACCACACAAGTGGCCCAGCAGTGTCCCTGATCGCCGGACAAGTGGTCCAGCAGTGCCCCTGATCACCGCAGTGTCCCTGATCACTGCAGTTGCCCAGCAGTGTTTCTGATCGCCACACAAGTGGCCCAGCAGTGTCCTGATCATCGCAGTGGCCCAGCAGTGTCCATGGTCACCGCACAAGTGGTCCAGCAGTGTCCCTGATCGCCAGCAGTGTCCCTGATCACCATACAGTGGCCCAATCAGTGTCCCTGATCACCTTACAGTGTGCCTGTTCATAAAGTGTCCCTGATCTCTGCCACACCAGTGGATCCTGTTCACTGCCATCGTCTGTGAGGAGAGAGATCCAGTACAGCTAACTGTGAGTAATTTTCAGCCTTTGCACAGAGTTTACACACACTCACAAAACATTGCCAGCCACCTCACTGTATCTCTGATTTTTTTGCCCAACAGTGACTAGTGTGAACCAACTGCAGCCAGATATCTGTCCCCTCACTGCAACACCATCCTGATCACTGCCATACCAGTGGGTCCTGATCAGTGTCAAAAATATGGCCAAAAGATCATATACAAGCGAGGAGGCATTTCAAATTCTGAGTATGACAGATGAGAGTGACGGAAACTTAAAACATACCTTGGGGGTGTTTGCTTTCCAAAATGGGGTCTTGTTGTGGATAATTCCATTGTCCTGATGCTCCAGGACCTCCAAAACGCAATAGGTAGTTAAGAAATTAGATGTGCGATCTTTGCCCTTAGAACGCTAACAGGTGCTTATTGGATGTGGAACCCCTCTATGTGGCCAGACTGTGAAAAAGTCTCACACATTTGGTATCACCATATTCAAGAAGAGTAGAGAATGTGTTTTGGGGTGTAATTTTAAGTATGCCTATGCAGTGTAATAGAAATATCTCATAGATTGACAACTTTGTGTAGAAAAAAATACATTTTCATTTTCTTTTCGCATTTTCCAAAAACTTGTGGCAAAAAATGAAGTCTTCAGACGACTCTGCATGCCTCTTAAAACATACCTTGGGGTGTTTGCTTTCCAAAATGGGGTTATTTTGTGGATAATTCCATTGCCCTGATGCTCCAGGACCTCCAAAACGGCAATAGGTAGTCAAGAAATTAGATGTGTAATTTTTTTGCCCTTAGAACGCTAACAGGTGCTTATTGGATGTGGAACCCCTCTATGTGGCCAGACTGTGAAAAAGTCTCACACATTTGGTATCGCCATATTCAGCAGGAGTTAAAGAATGCGTTTTGAGGTATCATTTTAAGTATGCCTATGCTGTGTAATAGAAATATCTCATAGATTGACAACTTTGCGTAAAAAAAAAATACATTTTCGTTTTCTTTTCACATTTTCCAAAAACATGTGGCAAAAAATGAGTCTTCAGAGGACTCCCCATGCCTCTTAAAACATACCTTGAGGTGTTTTCTTTCGAAAATGGGGTCATTTTGTGGGTAATTCAATTGTCCTGGTGCTCCAGGACCTCCAAAACTGTGATAGACAGTCAAGAAATTAGATGTGTAATTTTTGCCCCTAGAACGCCTAAGGGTGCTTATTGGATGTGGGGCCCTTCTATGTGGTTAGGCTGTGAAAAAGTTTTACACATGTGGTATTGCCATACTCAGGATGAGTAGCAGAATGTGATTTGGGGTGTAATTGCAAGTATGCCTATGCCGTGTGAGAGAAAGAACTTGTTAAATGACAACTTTGTGGGAAAAAAAAAAAGAATTTTTTTTACTTTTTCATCATTTCCTTAAAAAATTGGCAAAAAATGACAACTTCAAAAAACTCCCCATGCCTCTCATTAAATACCTCAGACTGTCTACTTTCCAAGAAGGGGTCGTTTGGGGGGTATTTGTACTGTCCTGGAAATTTTAGGGCCCAAGAAAGAAATTATATAGGTAGTCCATGCATCAGGATTGATACATTTTCAAATATATCAAATATATATACCGTGGTCTGTGGACTCTATAACTTTCACAAAGACTAAATAATACACACTGATTTGGGTTATGTCTACCAACAAAATGTAGCACAATGGATTTTGGCCTAAATTTATGAAGAAAGTATATTTATTTGCAAAATTTAGTATCAAATACTAAGAAAAACATGTTTTTTCAAAATTTTCAGTCTTTTTTTCAAAATCATTTTTCTAGCAAAAAAAATAAAAACCCCAGTGATGATTAAATACCACCAAATTAAAGCTCTATTTGTTTGAAAAAAATGATAATAATTTCATTTAGATACAGTGTTGTATGCCTGAGTAATTGTCATTCACAATGTGAGAGCGCCGAAAGCTGAAAATTGGCCTGGAAAAAGGGGGTAAAAGTGTCCGGAACCAGTGTTGTATGCCTGAGTAATTGTCATTCACAAATGTGAGAGCGCCGAAGCTGAAAATTGGGCCTGAAGGAAGGACAGGAGTGGTTAAGAATGATTTACTGGTAAATGCAAGGGATGACATTGCAAATGGGGCAAGGGGGGAGGTGGAGTCCCTAGGAGTGGAACTTCAAAGAGAAGAAACAAGAGGGAAAATAATTGCGGGAGTATGCTACAAGTCCCCTAACCTAAAGGATGAGGAGGTAGAAGTGGTGGCAAGGCAGGACAATGTCATCATAATAAGGGACTTCAACTGCCCAGATATTTACTGAGCAGCAAGAATAGCTCACTCATTTAATCCTTGTCATTTCTTAAATGTCTTACAGGACAACTTCTTGTGCCAATTGGTGGATGCCTTCACTAGAAAAAAATGCATTGCTAGACCTATTAAATACAAATGACACAGATATGGAAATCAGGACAACTTGGATCCAGCGATCACAGGATAATTACATTCAACATAAATTATAGGAAAAGGAGACACATGGTTTGGGCAAGAACACTAAATTTCAAGAGAGCCAACTTTTCTAAGCTAAGCACTGAACAATGAGGAAAAATAGGAGTATTTTAGGAACATAGGTATTAGCCTGTGCATTCCAATAGCCAACAAATATAAAAGAGCTAAAATTAAACCTGGGTGGCTAATCTTTAATGTGAAAATACATACTGTATTAAAGAGACAAAGAGCAGGGGAGAGTAAAAAAAAATTTCAACAATTATTTAAATATGTTAATAGTAAAAAAGCTAGGAGTGAACATATTGGCCCTGTAAGGATAATGAAAGGAAGTTGGCTATAAAATGATAAGAAGGCAACAGTACTAAATGCATTCTTCTCCTCAGGAAAAGGAGAGGTATAGTTATTAAGACTGCGTCATTCGTAATGCATCACATAATGTACCCTTGTGGCTTACATAAGCCAGTGTCCAAAAAAGACTTGAAAAGCTTAACACAAATAAATCACCAGGACCAGATGGCTTATACCCGAGAATTCTCAAAGAACTCAGACAGGTCATAGCCAGACCATTATTCCTAATTTTTATGGACAGCATACTGACAGAAATGGTACCAATGAATTGGTGATGGGCCAACGTGGTACCAATATTTAAAAAAAGGGTAGAGATATATACCTGGAAACTACAGGCCAGGTAGTCTAACACCGGTAATATGTAAATTATCTGAGGTGATATGGGACTATAGCCAAGATTTTGCTGATCAATATAGTATCATTAGTAGTAATCAGCATTTTTGAAAGCTTGTTCTTGCCAAACCAACCTGTTAACATTCTATGTGGAAGTGAGCTGCCATACAGATTAACCACTTGAGCTCCTGAGGATTTACCCCCCTAATGACCAGGCCTTTTTTTGCTGTTTGGCGCTGCACTAATTCAAATGATAATTGCGCGGTCATGCAATGCTGTACCCAAATGAAATTTGCGTCCTTTTTTTCACACAAATAGAGCTTTCTTTTGGTGCTATTTTATCACCTGTACACTTTTTTATTTTTTGCGCTATAAACAAAAAAAACACAAAACTTTTGAAAAAAAAACTATATTTTCTACTTTCAGCTATAAAAAATATATCATAAACTCAAAGTTAGTCATAAATTTAAGCCAAAATGTATTCTGCTACATGTTTTTGGTAAAAAAAAAATCCCAATAAGTGTATATTGATTGCTTTGTGTGAAAGTTATAGCGTCTACAAACTATGGTATAGATACTGTAATTTATGCCTTTTTTTGCTATACAGCACTGCACTAATTCAAATGATAATTGCGCGATCATGCAATGCTGTACCCAAACGAAATTTACGTCCTTTTTTCACACAAATAGAACTTTCTTTTGGTGGTATTTTATCACCTGTGCGCTTTTTTTTTTTTTTTGCGCTATAAACAAAAAAAAACCACAAATTTTTTTTTTTTAATTTCAGCTATAAAAAATATATCGTAAACTCAAAGTTAGTCATAAATTTAAGCCAAAATGTATTGCTACATGTTTTTGGTAAAAAAAATCCAGTGCAAACTTATATGGGAGGTCACCAGTGACACTAACACAGTGATCAGCTTTCACTTTTTTGACACTGGTGACAGGGCAGTGAAAAAACTTGGGGGGGGGGCGAAAAAAATGGGATTACTGGTGTACTGGCACTGGCGCTATCTTGGAGGGGCACAAACACTATTGGAAATACAGTGATCAGTAAAAAAACTGTTCACTGTAATTTGAAAAAAAACTGTGGGGGGGATTAAGGGGTTAAACCAATATTTTTTAATTTCAGCTATAAAAAAACACTATATCGTAAACTCAAAGTTAGTCATAAATTTAAGCCAAAATGTATTCTGCTACATGTTTTTGGTAAAAAAAAATCCAGTGCAAACTGGCGCTATATGGGAGGTCACCAGTGACACTAACACAGTGATCAGTAAAAATCTGTTCACTGTAATCAATGACACTGGTGACAGGGCAGTGAAGGGGTTAACTGGGGGGGGGGCAATCAAGGGGTTTAAATGGGATTACTGGTGTACTGGCGGGCAAACTGGCGCTATCTTGGAGGGGCGCAAACACTATTGGAAGTCGCCAGCGATACTGATACAGTGATCAGTAAAAATCTGTTCACTGATCAATGACACTGGTGACAGGGCAGTGAAGGGGTTAACTGGGGGGGGGGATTAAGGGGTTAAACAGGATTACTGGTGTACTGGCGGGCAAACTGGTGCTATCTGGGAGGGGCGCTAACACTATCGGAAGTCGCCAGCGACACTGATACAGTGATCAGTAAAAATCGATTCACTGATCAGTGACACTGGTGACAGGGCAGTGAAGGGGTTAACTGAGGGGGGCGATCAAGAGGTTAAACGGGATTACTGGTGTACTGGCGGGCAATCTGGCGCTATCTGGGAGGGGCGCTAACACTATCGGAAGTCGCCAGCGACACTGATACAGTGATCAGTAAAAATCGATTCACTGATCAGTGACACTGGTGACAGGGCAGTGAAGGGGTTAACTGGGGGGAGGTGGTCAGGGGGTTAAATGTGTCCTAGAGTGTTCTAACTGTTAGTGTAGTGCTTTGTACTCACTTTTTGTATGTCTTCTTCTCTGTCTGGAACGGAATGTGTCCAGGCAGAGAAGAATGACATCATATCCTGTCCTGTGTAAATGTCAACACAGGACAGGATAGGACAGGGACCGATCATCTGATTTCAGCCAGACATCACTGGCTGAAATCTAATGATTGATCCCTCCGGGATCGAATGGTGTCACCCGCGGGTCGGCGGGGAGCGCGCGTGCGCGCCCCCCCTGCCAGCGAAAACGGCGGGAGCACGGAACCTGTTTTAAAACGTGGTTTTTGCGCCCCAGTGCCGCCCTGCACACGTATATATACAGTGGCAGGGCGGCAAGCGCTTAAGGGCAATGGATGTGGTGTATCTGAATTTTGCAATAACATTTGACACAGTCTTCCATAAATGCCTAATTTACAAACTGAGGTCTGTAGGCTTAGAACATAGAGTTGGTTCGTGGATAGAAAACTGGTTACAGTGGCATGTCCAGATGGTGGGGATAAATAACATGTACTCAGATTGGAGTGTTAAGTGGGGTATCCCAGGGCTCTGTCCTGGAACCAAGTCTGTTTAATTTATTCATAAGTGATATAGAGGTTGGTATAAATAGTTTAATATCAGTGTATGCTGACAATACAAACCTAAGCAGGGCTATAACTTCACAGCACGGTTTTAGAAACTTTATAAGAAGATCTTAATAAAATAAAGGGGTGGGCAACTATATGGCAAATGAGGTTTAATGTTGAAAAATGTAATGTAATGCATTTGGGGCTAAAAATATGAAAGCAAGTTACTCACTACGGGGAGAACCTCTTGGGAAATGCAGGATAGAAAGGATCTGGGGGTCCTAGTAGATGACCGACTCAGCAATGGCATGCAATGCCAAGCTGCAGCAAGAAAAGCTAGCAGAATAGTACCATGCATAATAAAGGGTATTTAGTCAAGAGATAATACTATAATCCTGATACTTTACAAAAAAACTCTGGTTCAGCTACATCTGGAGTACGTCATCCAGTTCTGGTCACCAGTCCTCAGAAAGGATGTGCTTGAGTCCAGAGAAGGGCAACAAAATTAATAAGGGGGCTGGAGGACCTTAGTTACAAGGAACGACTACAAACATTAAACATATTCTCCCTGGAAAAGAGACTCTTGGGAGGAGATATGATAGTAATATATAAATGCCTTAGTGGTGATTCTAACATAAGGAATAAACTATTCAATTTGAGGGAGTGTAAAAAGACAAGGGGCCACTCGATGAAATTGAAGAAGAAGCAAACCCTAAACTATTTAGGGTTTTTTTCACTGTAAGGGTGGTAAGGATGTGGAACTCACTTTCACAATCAGTAATGTTATCAGGAAATATGGATAGTTTTAGAACACTCTTAGATGGGCATCTTAGCGAGCACTATATACAGGGATATGGGATATGAGTTTTGACATGAACACACACACACACCTACACCTTTTATTCAGCCTAACTAACTGTGTAATCATATAAGGTGTAGTAGCTGGGCTTCTCAACTGTATATTCATGAAAACTGGTTTCAGCCAGTCCCCAGCATTTTTACTGAAACATATCACAGACAACCAATTGCATGCGTTTTACATTTAGCCATGACACATTTTCCTCAGAAACACCTAAAATATGTTCTACTTTTTTAGGTAATCTGTGTAAATAGGAACACATTATCAACATATAGTGGAGTTTTCTCAGATTTGACTGCTAAAATGGAAATTTACTTTAACCACTTCCCTTCCGCCCATAGGCTATAAACAGCAGACTGGAAGCAGTGCCGATGTGGGCTAAAGTGCCTGTAGATCAGCCTGCATTGGTAGCTCCTGGGTGCCTCACATAGCACGCATCTGGGAGCACGGTGATCTGTGTGCCACCTAGACACAGATAATCACATAGTAAACAATGAATAACTGTAGGTAAACATTATATCTCTCTGCTCACACTGTGAGAGTAGATAAAACTGATGCTGCAGCCTGCCTGTGAGTGTACAGCAGCCCATCAAGCTGCATGTACACTAAAAAACTGCAGTGCAACCCTGCCCCAGTGTCCCTGATCACTGCCTCCAGTGTAAAAACAATACAAAGTGCAGCCACCCACGGTCACCTGTCCTAGTGTCACCAGTGTTCACAATAACACCACCATACCAATGTCCTGATCAAGGCCATACTCCATACCAGAGTCCTGATCACTGCCATATGCTGTACCAATGCCCATATCACTGTCCTATGCCATATCAACCTCCTGATCACCGCCATACCAGCACTTCGATCACTGCCATACCCAATACCAGTATCCTGATCACCGCCATACCCCATACCAGCATCCTGATCACCGCCATACCCCATACCAGCATCCTGATCACCGCCATACCCCATACCAGCATCCTGATCACCGCCATACTAGCATCCTGATCACTGCCATACACCATACCAGCATCCTGATCACTGCCATACACCATTCTAGCACTCTGATCACCACTGTAACCCATACTAAGTGGCCTGATCACTGCCATACCTCATACCAGCATCCTGACTACCCCAATACACCATTCTAGCACTTTGATCACCACCCATTCTAGTGTCCTGATCACTGCCATACCCCATACTAGTGCCCTGATCGCCACCATGCCCCATACCAGCATCCTGATCAATTTTAAAATAATTGTACCATAGTTTGTAGGTTGTATTACTTTCACACAGACTAAATAATATACATTGTATTGTGTTCGTGTGTAAAGAAGGTCATATAGAGATTTTTCTTTAAGAGCAACATGGTTCACCTTTGTTATCTCATTTTCAATAATTCTAAGGTATATATTGTCAAAATAATTATAACAGTTCACACATTAATAAAAGGGAGCTCTACAGAACCTGTACAGAAACATGCCCTGGGGATGCTTCCAAAGGGTATTAGTAAAATCACCATATGAATGCATAATACATGTTACATGTCCATTAATAGTTAACCACTGCAGTACTATCCTGTAAAATCCCTTCATTACCAGGTCATTGAATTCACAGTTTTTTGCTTCACGTTTGAATTCCTTTGTTTTATTATTTCAATTTGTGGTGATACATAAGAGTTTGATACATTCTCATTGCACTATTGTATTGCACATACATTTTAATTTATCTTAGCACTGCACTATTGTTTTGTGAATCAATTAAGATTGAATGCACCAAACCTGGTTGTACTCAGTAAACACTGAATGTAATAAATGAGGACAGTTTAATAAGGTGGAGAAACATTGTACTATGTAAGTGTAATTCTTAAGCTTTGATAGAAAAGCCATTAGCAATCCCTGTATGAGGATGAATATTTCGGAGGTCCATTGTAAACGTCCATATTTTATACACTGCTGTAGAAAATTAGTAGCTAGCTTCACAGAATCATTTGATAGCTGCACTCATACCACTCAATACAGCCTCGTAGAATTGCAAGCTTAATAAATCCTTACTATATCGGTCATCTTGCCAAACAACGATTAACACAAATAAATAGGTAAATAACTTATGATTATGATTATGATTACGCCACTTGCAAAACTGTTTTTTTTCAGTCATGTGACCAATCTGCTTTCAATGGCTAGAATTGCGAAAAAAAATTACTATCGTTATGAAAACATAATAGCCGTATTTGGTCAATGGCATTTCCAGGTACCCCTGATTGTTTGTATAGATTTCAGCAGCAATGAATTTGGACAAGCAAACTGGTCAATTGTAGCTAGTTTATTTAGTGACTCATCCATAGTTAACAACATGAAAAACTACACTCATCCCGGAGACACCTGAAAAGGCAATAGAAGAAAACAAGGTCATCTAAGTCTTGTTGTATTTATTCCAGAGGCCATTTTGAGGAAGTGTCTGGGTACTGGATTAGCATGTTTAACTGTTTTATATACGTTTGTGGCTGCAGCTGTCAATCACCGGGTCCCAGACGGTGACTATCCGCCAGAACCCGGTGATTACAGAGCATCTCCGACAGGGAGGAGGACTGTTTTGTTTACTAACAGTTCTCCTCCCTGTCAGCTCGGGCACACTGCTTTGGATGGCTGTGCACAGCACAGCCATTCAGAGCAGTGTGATTACAGTGAAGCCCACACACACCGCCCCCTATCTAAAACACTCCTTGCAAACAATTAACTCTTTGATTGCCACTCGTGTTAACCCCTTCCTGCCCAGTGCCATTAGTACAGTGTCAGTGCTTTTTTTTTAGAACTGATCACTGTATTGGTGTCACTGGGGATGTCAGTTCCCCCTAGTGTCAGAATTCCCACCGCAGTCCCGCTATAAGTTGCTGATCACCACCATTACTAGTAAAAAAAAAAAAAATCCAGTATCTATACGACATTTGTAAATGCATTGTATAATTTTCACTTAAACCAATTAATTTACAGCACAGGCATCCAAAGCAGTATGCTTACAGTGAAGCACACTGATATGGCCCCCTAGTAAAACACTCCCTGCACACAGTTAACCCTTTGCCCCTTATGTTAACCCCTTCCTGCCCAGTGCCATTAGTACAGTGTCAGTGTTTTTTTTTAGCATTGATCACTGTATTGGTGTCACTGGGGATGCCAGTTTTAGAATGTCCGCCGCAGTCCCGCTATAAGCCGCTGATCGCCGCTATTACTAGTAAAAAAAAATAAATAAATTCCGGCATCTATACTGCCATTTGTAAACGCTATAACTTTTGCGTAAACCAATTAATTTACATCAATTGGGATTTTTTTTTTTTAGCAAAGACATGTAACAGAATACATTTTAGCCTAATTTTATGACAAAATTTGATTTTTAATTTTTTTTACTGGGCATGTTTAATAGCAAAAAGTCAAAAATATTGTTTTTTTTCTCAAAATTGTTGGTATTTTTTTTATAGTGCAAAAAATAAAAAACACAAAGGCGATCAAATACCACTGAAAGAAAGCTCAATTTGTGTGAAAAAAGGAACGTAAATTTCATTTGGGTGCAACGTTGCATGACTGAGCAATCGTCAGTTAAAGTTATGCAGCGCCGTAATGTAAAAAATGGCCTGGTCAGGAATAGGGGTAAGTCCTCAGGAGGGCAAGTGGTTAAAATATATAACTGATGAAAAATTAAAAAACATGTCTTAATACATGTGAACTATATGTGATGTATAAGGTATATTTGATTTTAATATTTAATGTTTACCATTATCCCCTAATCCGGAGCCTTGGCTAGTCTCAAAGAAGCTCAAAGAGAAGTGCGTTGACCTAATTCAACTTATTGCTATAAAATAAGTGATATACAGTATGTGCAATGTATATCTCTGTATGGAGTTGATAATATACAGTATACTGTATATGTAACAATACATGTTGTTAATAAAGAGAAAATATTGCTAATTACATAGTTATGGTTTTTAGGATTATGGAGATCTATTTTTATTTATAATAATAAAGTATTGAATATTAGGGTGTTTTTTTAAACTTGAGTGTTCTCTCATCTGTACTAGTAAATTCTATATGATTTTTGTGTAAAAACAAAACCTATATTCTGCATACTAATATGAACAGGGGTGTTCATAAATATGACAAAAATTAAAACCTTGCTTTCAAAAGGACTCCATAAATGAATGTCATTTATTCAGCAACCATGAAAAATTAACAGTCATGATTAAAATCAGGTCAGATCCAAGCCTCTGTACATTAGCCATAGCCCAACACTTGTTGTGAAGGTGGTCACCAGAGATCACATACTATAAAATCCTGGGAAGGAGTGGGTGACAGCTACTGATATCTAGTGGGTGAACCCGGCTGTGGTCCAGTGCTCAGCAACCAGAGGGGAAAACCACCAAAAGGATGGCCCCCTATGTGTGTGCTTCAGACCCGGCAGTGATGTCATCAGCAGAGCCCCAGACTAGAAATGAAGGTGCCACCATCACATTGGCTGAGTTTGAAGAGGAGTAGATCCAGAAACAATCTCTTCATCAATGGTGGGCAGCAGAGTGGCTAAATGGTTAGCACTTCTGCCTAGCAGTACTAGGGTCATTGGTTCGAATCCCAACCACGGCACCACCTGACTGGAGTTTGCATGTTTTCCCTGTGCCTGTGTGGGTTTCCTCCGGGTGCTCCGGTTTCCTCCCACACTCCAAAGACATGCTGGTAGGTTAATTGGCTCCTGTCTACATTGTCCCTAGTATGTGTATGAATGTGAGTTAGGGACCTTAGATTGTACACCCTTTGAGGGTTAGGGACTGATGTGAATGTACAATATATATGGAAAGCGCTGCGTAAATTGACGGCGCTATATAAGTACCTGCAATAAATAATAAATCAATGGGAATACGCGATTCAAAGCTCCTGGCTTTCTTATCAAATGGGATTTGCTAATGAAGCCAGGAGCTTTGAAACGTGATCTCTGGTGACCGCCTTCACAAAAAGTTTTGGGCTATGTTTAATGTACAGAGGATTGGATATGACCTGTTTTTAACTCATGACTATTGTTGTGTCTTCATGGTTGCTAAACAATTTACACTCATTTATGGATTTTTTTTTTGGGAAGCAACGTTTTAATTTTTTGTCCTATTTATGAACTCCCCTGTTCATACTAGTGCACAGCATACAGGTTTTGTTTGTTCACTTCTATTTTTCCAGTAGACAACTAGCAGCACAGTGATATGTGGGGGCCCAGATTGTATCTACACTAGTCTACCAAGTGCTTAGCACCTCTGGTCCGTTTGTGGATTTATATGACTTTTGTGTAGTACTTTCGAGAAGTGTCTGGATAAGATGCTGGAATTCTTGGAAAGTTTTATGTGACTGTAAGTAAATACAGCAAAGCATCTGATTTGTAACTGAAAGTCTGCAGTACAAAAGGAAATTATTTCACTGGAAAGTATGTATTTTGTTTAGCTGATGTACATGTCATTTACAGTATTTGAGAAAAAAATTAGTTATTCTGCTACTAGTCAACAAATCCATCACTTTGTGGATTGGTATTAACACAATAAAGCAGAGCAGCAAAAAAAATTCTCGGTTTAGGCCATTTCTGAGTTGACTTTGATAGAATCCTTGTTTACAAGGTTTACTAATCTGCCACACAGTCTATTTGGTCAATTATGTGCTGTAAATTCTATTTGCACTGTAGGATTTACCTAATGTATTGAACTACAAGAGAGCTCTCTAAGTACCTTGTGATACAGGGATCAGCTGTCTATTTTGAGTCTAAAGTCATACCATATGCTTTCTTAAAGCACAATTAAATTTTCTTTGTTTTTGACGGTCCTGTTTGTCACCGTGAACAGTGATCAGGTGCAAATATCTAATTAGCCATAGTAAAATGAATTAAACTCAGAACAGTGCAGGCAACTGCTCCCTTTGTGTACAATATGTCCTTCTAAACCTTCTCTGAAGCCGTTTTTCATATCTTTGTAACTGTATTCAGATTCAGCACGGTAAAGAGTTTTTGTATCTTAATAATATGAGCATGTGTATTGTGAAACCCAGAATAATAATGTTATGTAAAATCTGCTTTGAGGAATAATCAGATATACTTAATTAAACACATGTAGCACTGCCAATGATTCTGATAAATTCAGTACTGTGCAAACAAAGCACCCAGCTTGGCAGGGATCATCTGAT